TCTTCCGATCTCCCCAAAACCCCAAAACCCCAAAACCCCAGATTAGAAATAAGATTTTAGATAAGTATAATGAGCAAAATAAATAGTAAATAGACATTTGAAATGCATTGTAGAATATTATTAATTTATTAGTAAAATTACCTTATTTCATTAGTTCAAGGTATTAATTGATAAGCATACTCTCTGATACATGTCAATTTATTGCGTTCGTACATTTCCTTAATGATATCAAGAAATAGTATGTAAAGTGTATCACCAGAAGAAGATGAAAAGGTTTTCATTGAATCATGGTTTGGATAAAATGACTAGATTTACATTGGTATGATCAACTTTTCTTTTCTATCAACTGTGTTGAATAGGTATAAATTCTCTATTGATCTCAACAACACATATTTATGAGCTAAATTCTCGTTCATTTCCACAAGTTGAATTGACTGAATTATTGAATTAGAACTCTAAAGAGTGATATCTTTGGTCACACTCTGCTAAGTAAAAGAATATATCAAAAGATGAGCATTTTACTTATCACCAAAGTCTGAACATGCAAGAAGAAGTTCTGTTTCATTTATTTGGATTATTGAACTAAATGCTCTTTCTCTCAACAGTTCCTCAGTGTGTCTAAGACTTAGAGGACTGTTATTCTCAATTGTTCTAAACAAATGGAGACCCTCTTAATAGCGGCACACAAATAAATTATCTTCATCTCCATTTTTTACATAGCATAGATCTAGTACTGAGCATTCACTATTCTTTGAAATAACTTTTTATGTGAATTCTTTATTGATGTCAAATATTTCAATCTATCCTTCTGACTGTCCACAAATTATGAATTAGTTATAAACACCATTAATATCTTAAAGACCTTAAACACCTATCAATTTGTTTGGGATAGACTTAACCTATCTTGAAAACATTGCTCTCGAATCAGAATATCTGTAGGTGCCATCATAAATATTTATTTTTCCATTCCACAAACCTATTAGAGTATAATTGAGATACGATAAACAGCATCTAGCCTAATCCTCTAAAGTAAAAGTAGAATCAATTTCCAAAAGGTTATCTTTGTATACTATTAGTTTTTTATCATACCCACAAACTAAAATATTACCTGATCTATCCCTCGTAATAAACTGAATTTAGTTAGAATTTAGCTTATATTCTTTCTTAACAGGTTAAATTTTCTCCAAGAGTGCTCGTACTTGAGATTTTTTTTAATTCTACTATTTATTCTAATTATGCTACAAGTTTTAATTATTTGATAAATTCAATGGATATACTGCTTTTTCAGTCCCATTTGAATTAGAGTTACCATCAAATTTACGTTATTGGTATGGGTTTGTATTAGTTTACTGGAAATTGGATAACTTAGAATTTGCGAGAGGAACTCTGTTAACTTGAGAATTATCATCTTCTTCAGTGATTATAGGTTCTTCAATCTGTTTAACAGGCTGATTCTTATTTCTTATTTCTTGAACACTTGGTGGTAATCTATTAGGCGTGACAGTTCGATGTTATCTATCAACATTCATCATTTCAGGCCTTTATAATACAATTTGGTTACCGAACTATTTAGAAATTTGCTACTAACTTCTTGTCGCATTTAATTAATTTTACTGATTTCTATGATCTAAATTGCTTGGATATAAGCTGCCTTGAGCTTAATTATGCAAGTTTTGAAGATTATTAGGATATCTATCTCTACTTTTAAATGTCTATTACATTGCTCTTTTATCAATACTCAACTTCTCTTCATTCCTCTTTTCAGGCAAAATATAGTTTTTGATTAGTTTCTTAAGTTCCATTGATTAGTGGAATATATTCTACTCAGATTCCGAAAATTTTTGAATAGATCTTTCGATTGAGTCATTTAAAAACTTGGTGAGTAATTCATTTAATATCGCAATTGTAATATCAAATTATAATTTAATCGCTTCATTGTCAGAAAGTTTTTTCCCCAATCTACTTTATTAGAAATCTATTACAGTCAAAAAATTCTTAAAAATTGAGTCCATTTTTTATAATAAGTAATTATTCAAATATTAATGATCAATTTCGAATCATGGGGTTTTGGGGTTTTGGGGTTTTGGGGTTTTGGGG